AATCAAGTTACGAAACCATTAGTCCTAACCTTTCGATCAAGGGTCATTAACGTTTAACCCTTCAAAGAAAGGCAAGACTGGGGTTGCGTAATCTGACATGTCTGGTTAGTTGGAAGAGGTTAATGTAATATTTTGGGTGAATTTGAGTGAAATAAGAAATATCATTGAGCAGACAAATTGAGTCGCTTTCATTTTGAAGGTGGCTCGTTGTCCAATAATATGGCACATTGGCATCATCATGACGAGTAAAAAAGTCATTCTGTCTACTTTTATTGAAAGGCAAATTTGCCGACGATTCTCCATTCAGCCCCCGACAGCCGGACAGATGACGGCACATCTCTTCCAGAAGGCCTTCAGAGTCGGAGGTGAATCTCTTGCAAACGAAGACCCCGCTCCTCAGAGTACCCCTTTTTACTTTCTCATCCCCAGTCGCGTTTCATCCTCTCATAAACACTCTTCTAACCAGCCTCGCATTCATACCAACACTGTGATTGTACCATGCCTTCAGCCGACTTCCAGTCGATCTGCTGTGACTGGCAGGCCTCCTCGGCCGCCATTTTGCTCGTCTTCCCGGGCCGATGGAGTCGTCGATCGCATTAAATGTATTGTCCCAATCCAGAAGGAGTCGTGTTGCCCAGGTCACCTTGGCTGTATGCAGCTTGTCTGAAGTATTTTGCCAGACAGGTCATGACTGTAGACTTTGTAGATTCCCCGAAAACATTTGAAATTAATTTTTTTTGTATTCTTCAGATAAATAAAACTAAGGCTTACTGACTTTGCCTCGACTAGGAGGCCAGTAGAACGTCTCGGAATGTCTCAAGTCCACAGTCCGGCGCTAGAGAATATGAAGCTAAAAATAGCAGAGGATGAAGTACTCGATGAAAGTATCAAAGTCCCCCTGACAACAGGACAGACGATCTTAGACGCTTGAATAGAACTAAAGAAGGCTGCGACTAGGATAGAGGCCACAACTTTAATTGTCCCTTTTTTGTCTCTAAAACTACCTATATCGAATATAAGTAGTGTTGTCAATTACTTAAGCGACAATTTTACTGTAAAAATGTTAGTCGAAAGGGACCTGTATTGCGTTAAATTTCGCATCTTTCTTGTAACCCCACATTCGTTGGTATCCGTGACTGTGTAATTGCGTACTAATGTCGCCATGATACTCACGACTTGGGTTAGAATCCCGTCAGGGGTACTGTAGGCCAGTCGGGCGGACATGAGATCTGGACCCTAAGATATGATTGGCGAGAGCCCTGGCTTGCTTTGTACTTCACACCTGCTCTGTGATCCGATAAAACAGGTGATTGTGGAGTGCAATGGAGGGGGACGGGTATCATGCCGCATTGATGCTAATGACCCGGACTCGAATCACCGTAGAGATACAAATGAAGAGGGGTGGAGCGATTTCAAAGTTGTGCGCCTACTCATGTGATGGTAGCGAAAACCTAACTATTACTTTCGGCGACCTAAACTGATTAAGCTATTATTCAAGAATTAATAATATTTATACCAAAAATATCTTTTATTCCAGAGATGTTTTGCAGCCCACTAGCTTTTAAGAGACCACAGAACAAATACCGTCGGCCCTTTTCGGTGCTTGACCGTAGCCAAGCATGCTCAAGTTGAGAGACTCCGACAAATCACACTTTACGAGCAATTAAGGATTAACAGTTGAAGTTCATTTTTATCATTTAGGAGTAGGCTTTCGAGGCTACCAGTAGGTTATATATAAATAAATAAATAAATAAATAAATAAATAAATAAATAAATAAATAAATAAATAAATAAATA